AAGCAAAGCAAGCATTTCCATTAACATACAAACTGGATAAAAATTTTTCACATTTATGTCAGCACATTTATGTCATTATACATAACTTGGTAATATTTGAGTGGTAGTTTCATCTCGTTCGAATTTGATTTTCGAAAAATCCGTTTGCCAAAAATAAGCTTTTTACGTCAAGCAGTTTAAGCAGAATCGTGATAAATCAATTACCCAACTTTTTGGAACACCCTGTATGAATTTTTAAAAAATTTCGAAATATGTAAAAAAACCAAATAAATTGTGTGTGTCCAAGCGTTTTCCCGAAAAACTAATAAGTTTTTTAAATAACGAATAACTAACAAAAAGTTTTTTAAATAACGAATATTGTAATATTTGGGGGGTCGTTTGACCCCCTTGAAACTGGAATTTCGAAAAATCACAACCCCACAGTCAATCCGTTTGCCAAAAATCAGCTTTAAACGTCAAGCAGTTTAAGCAGAATCGTGATTACTCAATGGTCATATTTTATGAAACACCCTGTACGAATTTTTAAAAAATCTTAAAATATGTAAAACAACAAAATAAAACATACGTGTTTAAGAGTTTTTCTGAAAAACTCACCGGTTTTTAAATAAAAAATATTCTAATATTTGAGGGGTGGTTTCACCCCCTTAGAATTCGAGTTTCAAAAAATCCCTTCTTATCGAACCTCTACACCCTAAAGTCAATCCGTTTTCCAAAAATCGGCTTTTTACGTCAAGCGCTTTAAGCAGGATCGTGATTTATCTATGACCAGATTTTTCAAAACACCCTGTATACATTTTTAGAAAATCTTAAAATATGTAACAAAGCAAAATAAAAAATACGTGTTTAAGCGTTTTTTCGGAAACTTGGCAGTTTTTTAAATAAAAAATATTGTAATATTTGAGGGGTGGTTTTAGTTTTTTTTAGTTTAGTTCCCCTTGGAACTGGAATTTCGAAAAATCCCTTCTTATCGAATCTCTACACCCTAGAATCAACCTGTGTGCCAAAGTTGAGCTTCTTACGTTGAGTGGTTTGAGCAGGATCGTGATTAATCAGTGTGTCAGTCACTTAAGGATTTTATATATTAGTATAGATTAAAAAATAAAAAGTAAAGTAAAGATTTCAGTTAACGTCTCCTTTTTGCTGCCAGGGCTAATCTGGACGGAGCCTACTTTGTTTACACGGAATCCGAACCGCGGTTTTCGGCCATATCATGGTCAAAGGCCTACTACTAAATGGACTTAGGAAGTGTCTAAATCAACTCTAACTCACGAGATATCCGATCTCATCCGGCCTCGAACCGGCGTGTATGAGCAGTGTGTATCAATAGATTTCACACTTTTCCCTTGAACAAAAGCACGATACAGTTTCGAACTGGTCACCCGTCCATCTACCAGTATCGCCTTACGTCGCTTAACTTCTAATGGGAACCGGTGTTTCAACGTAGCTAAGCCGTTACTATTAAAAAAACAGGGTATAGCCTTTTATTTCTTACTGAATTAATAATATAAGCTTATATCGTCTTGGTTACATTAACCAGAGTCATAACACCCTTAGGACATTAGGATGCCACAATTCTCTCTAACTTTTATAGATAACAACCATGAAATACAATAGAAATTATGAATAATAATATAAAATGAAAATGGACACTCATCTAACTACTCTGTTAATTTATTTACATCATTTAATGTTACATATAACAAATTTATAAGAGAATAGTTTCATCAACATCTCCTGCTACAATATTTTTCTGTTCCAGCCGCTGAAGGTATGTTTTATACTCCTTCTTTGTTCTTTTTGGAATGGATTCTCTTTCAAGTGCGTGGTGTGACACGGCCTTGAATTTTTACTCCCATCGATATAATGATTACAATATCACAGTAGTCGTATAGTTAAATTTTACAACGGTATTTCCAGCATATTATTTAAGTAAATAACGGTTAACTTCGCAACACGGACATGAAGCAAAAACTCTACCGCGCGTCGGACTTTGGTAACAGATGTTTCTTAGTTTATTACCCAAACTACGGTCAGCAGAATTATCTTAGATAACAGCAGCGTGTCGGTATGCGCCGATGTGTGGTTTTCAGTTAATTCCGTACAGAAGTTCACAAGTGGAACAAAACAGCAACGAAATTGAATCCAAGGGGATTGAATTGCAGATGTGTAAGAATAATTAGTTTGAAAGATTATTCTGTAACGTTTACGCCTAGTATAATTGAGTGGTTTGTCAAAACCAAATATCAGATACTGAATTATTAGAATTTATTAGACTTTAATGTTTTCTAAGACTCAAAAAGAGTATTTCGTATTTCAATATAAAGAATTTTTAATTGTAAATTTTTAAATAAGAAAAGGTTAATCATAAAATCGTATATTATGTAATCTTAAATTTTATAAATCTTAAAATAACACTGTGTGAAACGCTTCCACAGGTAAGTTTTTCGAAATTTGTAATCTAGCATTTAATGAGTAATGTAAATCTCATATACAGGGTTGTTCACTTCATTCGACACGGAGTACTGTAGCCAAATTGTAGCCATGATTAGATTTTTAGAAAGTGTTAATGATGGAATCGTTGGAAGACTACCAAAGCTACAATTTTAAAATATTTTCAAAAGGTACAGAATATCCCAAATAAAAAATATCAAAGTTGCATTTTTTTAAAAGGAATATCCTGTGTATTATTAGATTTTTAGTTTCTACGGATTAAAATAGTAGTAAATTTAATTAAGGTTTACCGCACTTTAATCTTACTATTTTTAAAATATTCACAATTTTTTAAAAATGCAGTAACAATTTTAATACTTTAAAGTTTTTAAAACCAAATATTGTACTGAAGTTTTTCTATTTACTAGATTTTGTATTGCAATAATAAAAATTATACTACCTTATACAGAGTCTCTAAAATTTTTTAAATTAATTAAAAACTTTAAACGGTGACTTTTAGGTTTGTAGCTTCTAAATAAACGATCTACGTAAAGCATCTAGCTCATTTGCCAGTTCAGACTTAGAATTTAGAGTTACAACTCGCATTTTCATTGGAGGACACTGTCATATTTATCTCAAACCAAAAATCAACGAGAATATTCGTATAATTTAATAAAATTACTATAAATTACTATAAATAATGAATTGTTTGTAATTGAGCTGAAATTTCTGTATTATTAATCCGGTAAATGATGGAGATAGACAATTGTGATTGATTAAAATTTTATTTTAACATGAAACTTTTTTTAACAACATTCTGAGAATTCAAATAATGAATTGAATAATGACCAGACAAGTGACATCTGTCTAAAAAGGACAACGATTTTGAGTGGCAATTGGGTTATGTAAAATTTAGAGTGACAATTTTGATTATGTAAAACAAATACATATGCTATGAGTTTACTGGTTGCCGAACGGTTAACATTAATTAAAAAATAAATCCCCAATACGAATAACGAACAAAACCAACGTTTTGTTCGTCATCCAAACAAAAACAGACCACAGACTACACAAAACAAATTGGTTAGGTTAGGTGGTGTATTAGTAGCAGATAGTAGTAGTCAGAGTTATAGATTTCGAATAACTCGGTTATTTTGAACTTATTCGAAAAACGGTAAAGAAAAATATATATGATTCTTTTATCGAGATCTACCAGCCCCGAAAATATTTGCACTTATTTAGGACTTGCCCTGTATAATCCCGTTCAAAATATCAAACAGTAGCACAAGTTTACGACCTATTAACACCCCCTTAATTAAACGTGATTAATCACCTGTAAACTAATTATAGTTTATTTATCTTGGCCGTAATATTATCAGTAATATCGGCGAATTGTTGGGTGCCAGTTAGCGGCAGATTAATTAGGCTAACCGTCAGTTATTTGGACGCGGTAATTAGTTACTTTGTCGCTACCGGTGAATGCAATTAGCGCTGAAGAATTTACCGTGCTCTGTGCTCTATTGACTCTATCGTTTTATCGGACTTAATTAATTATTAGTTACATGTTTCGGACAAAATTTCACGGCACTAGATTCAAACAAATAGGGACGAAATCACAGAATGTCAAAACAGTTTAAAAATTTTTATTGAATGTGTTTGCTAATTTCAAAGTGCTTTTTAATTTAATACAATTAACTTGGTTAAACTAAGAGCTGGCAAAGGTTAGTTTTGGGTTGAGATTTCCGTATGTAATAAGAGTACAATGGGTTTATAATGTACTGAACAAAGAGAAAACAGTAAAAACGTTGCCAAACGTATGAAATAAAATGAGAAACTGTGCTCATTGCTAAGAGACGTGGAAGGAAATATAGTAGATTCTTATCAATATCTACCAGCCCTGAAAATATTTACACTTATTTTAGACTACTTTATTTCCTTTCTTTTAAGAATAATATTTTTTTTCCTGCGTAGTAAAAAGAGAAAATAAAAAAGCAATCTGCCAGACCTCGAGTGTGTCATTTTTTTGCGGGCTCGGTTTTTCTAGGAGAGCAATATCTAAGGGCGACTTTACTCTACTAATGTCGCATCCCTTAAGACCTGTGTCTGCACGGGACCATTTGTCACTCCGGACGTACGTTTTCTTCAGAATAAACTCAAAATATCCGCCATTTCTTCCAGGAAAACCTTTCTTTACCTATTTTTCCTTAGGTCCGATGATAAATTGCAAAAGGGATGTGCGAATAATTTCCAGAATTTTTTTTAAAGAGAAAAAAAACCTATCTTCTTTAAATCGACATATTTAAAACTGTAATTGGGTTATTATGAAAAAAATATACACCATAATGGACAATTTGCATGCATTTTTAAATTACTTGAAATAAGAGGACATCAGTAAAAATATTTTTTCAAAATTCCCTAAAAATATACTAATAATTTGTCGTTTTGTGTCTTGGGTCGACCGCAAAGTGGACCAAAATGGCCGAATTAAATTCCGATATTGATCAAGTATATTTGGTCCAAGTATACTTGGACCGTCTCAACCAGGCTTAATAAAAAATCCCTAGACTTACCGCTTCCAGGGACGTATATGTTCAGGAACAGGCAGTCCTCCGACTGATTGGCCAGCAACGGAAGCAGCTTCTTCAAATACTGATAGCGGCCTTTGGGCATAAACTGCAAGGCTGCAGTCTTGTTTGTTATATCTGGGTACTTTTGGGGACAGACAGCTCCGAAAGTATCAGCTAGCCTGGTACCTGGCCAGGAAACGGGTGCTTGGGGAGGCTGGAATCTCAGCGGACCTACAGGGGGTGCTGCGTAGGGTACTCCACGAAAGACCTGACGGGAGAAAAGAAATATATATATGTAGAAAAATAAATAAAAGTTCGTCGTCTACATCAACACAATATTTGACAAGTGCACATGCTTCTTCTACTTTTACTTCGACTGTTGACAAGTGTCAAATAAAATTTGTAGTTTTGTTATCAATTTTTTCATTTCAATTTTAGACACACATGTGGGGGATGAAGATACGACAACGTGTCCTTTTTTAACCAGTGCACGCAAGTTTATAATTGACATTCTTAAAAATTATTTTTAAGCCACGAGATAACTTTCTATCAAACGATATTGAAAAATATTTTTCTCCACTTGCAAAGTCGAATTTTCAGAAATCGCAAACTTATACCTACGTTTTCTAATTATTTTATACACTAATCAAGAAGCATAATATACATAGTTTTTCACCACATACGACACGGAGTATTGTAGCTATAAGATTAGATTTTTACAGATTTTAAGTTTTGGGTTCGTTGAAGGACTATTAAAGCTACAATCTAAAAATAATTTTACAATATACAGTGTCCCAAATAAGTAAAAAATGTTATTGTTGTATTTTTTAAATGGAACACCCTGTATATTATTCTATTTTTAGATTCTACGATTGAAACAAAGGTAAATTTGATTAAGGTTTATCATACCTAAACCCAAAGCTTAAACCTTACCGTTTTTGAAATATTTTCAATTTTGTGAAATTGCAGTAAAAAATTTAAAGCTTCATTTCTCCAAGGGTATCAAAGTTTTTAATACTAAATATTTACTAAAGATTATTTATTGATCATATATTGTGTTGCAATAACAAAAATTATACTACCTTATACAGAGTATCCAAAATTTTATATTAAACAATTACTAGCTTTAAACGGCAATCACTTGTTTAATTTAAATAGAACACCCTGTATATTTTACGTGAATCAGATGCGCAATTTAATTGTCTATCAAATTGTACTATAGCATGTTTTCCCTATATCTTCTCTATCAAATATCTACTCTATCAAGTTTTTGTGGAAAATGCATTTTTGTATAATTTAGACCTCATTTACCACTGTATGAGAAGAGATAGGTAAAAATGGTATGATACAATTTGATAAACAATTAAATTGTGCATCTGATTCTCATAAAATATACAGGGGGTTCCGTTTAAATTAAACAGGTTATTGCCGTTTAAAGCTAGTAATTATTTAAAATAATTTTTGGACACTCTGTATTAGGTAGTATAATTTTTATTATTGTAACACAATTTAGTAGATCGAAATACTTCAGTACAATATTTGGTTTTAAAAACTTAAATACTACCAGAGAAACAAAGCGTTAAAATTATTCCTGTATTTTGACAAAAACCTAAATATTTCAAAAACGTAATAATATACAGGGTGTTCCATTTAAAAAAATATAACTTTGATATTTTTTATTTATTTGGGACACTCTGTATATTGTAAAAATATTTTTAAATTGTAGCTCTAGTAGTCTTTCAACGAACCCAAAATTTACAATTTGCAAAAATTTAATCGTTTAGCTACAATACTCCGTGTCATGGGCGCCGGACAGGGGGGGCAAGAGGGGTCATTTGCCCCCGCCCCCCTGGATCACTGAAACAATAAAAATAAAAGCTATCTTCTTACATCCATCTGTAAAAAAATAATCATTATTATGAAATTGTTAGGTGTTACCTGTCAAATAATAAAAAATGTGGTAATTATTGGGAAAACTGGAAATCGTCCGATTTTCACCAAAATTGGTATACACACTATTTTGAGGTCGTAGATTACGAATCTATTTTTTTCTTGGCGGTCTCTTACCGTTTTTCAGAAAAACGGAAAATTATTTCAACATGAATTTTTCTTTATTTCGGCCCTATAAAGTAATAATTTCACTATATTTTCATTATATTATAGTTTATCTAAAAGCCACACTTGATTGGGGATAGAAAAGTGTCCAACATTTTACTGAAAAACACTTTTCTTAACAAAATAGCAAAGAAAATTGAGACCAGATGGAAGTTTGACATTTGATATATCCTTCTTTCTCTCTCCTATGTAATAAGAGAGACAAATATATTCTAGACCTAATCTAGAAATTTGAAAATTTACAACGTTGCCATATCTTCTATTTTTTCGGGTGATTAGGGATTTTAAATAAATTACCTATTATGAGATCGACAATAATTAAATATACACCTATATCCACAAAATTACGCGGAAGAGTTTTGATTGCATTGGTTTTAACTTCTTTGCGGAGGGGGTTAATCTTTTTTTAGTTAATCTAATAATATAACAACAAAAGATTAACACCCTCTGCATGGAAGTTGTAACCAATGCAATCAAAACTCTTTCGTGCAACTTCGTGGGTATAAATAGTCAGATCTCGTTGGTAAAATAGCAGTTATGGGAAGGAGCCGTTCTTCTGGCGACCGCCTTTCGTAATTCCAGAATGAGCGAAAAAAACACGCTAAATTTAGGTTTAGCATTGGCAACGTTGCTTTAAATGCCAGAAACACATAAACTTACTTCGGGTTTCTCTTATTACCGATTCTGAACCGTCCTAGAACTGTGATGCGTATGCGCAGAAGGAAATATGAAGACATTATTTCATTTGCGCATGCGCTGCAGAGTTCTTGGACGGTTCAGAATCGGTAATAACAAGAACCCGAACAAAGCTATAATCTAACATTTTCAGATTGTTTACAAATTTATTTTAGCAAATTTTCCTCTATTATGCATAGAATTTGTTAAAAAGTAACAGAAAATAGCAAAACATTATTGATTATTGAATACCTAACAAAATATGTGCTAGAAAACCTTAAAAATATGAGAAATTAAGAAAAAATTCGATATTGAAATTATTTTCCGTTTTTCTGAAAAACGGTAAGAGTCCGCCAAGAAAAAAGTTCAGATTCGTAATCTACGACTTCAAAATAGGGTGTATACCAATTTTGGTGAAAATCGGACGATTTCCAGTTTTCCCAATAATTACCAAAAATGTCAATTTTTTATTCATTTTTACCTTGCCCCCCCCCTAAATTTCATTCTTCCGGCGCCCATGCTCCGTGTCGTATGTGGTGAACAACCCTGTACTTTACACTCAGCTATATCCAAATGTAATTTCTTTCTATTTCATATATGTATTTCGTTGGTAAGTGGAAAATTAAGTAATCTATGAACTAAGAAATTTAAACTAGCCATCTTATGTTCAACACTATGATATGACTCGTTAGGAATATATCTGCATATATTTTTTCTATAGATATCAAATTCCAGGCAATTATTATTATTTCTAATAACTAATACATCTAGAAATGGTAATCTATCGTTGTTCTCAATTTCATAGGGAAATTTAATGGAAGGAAAACGATTGTGTGTATTGTGGGGATTTAGCGTTTTATTTTGCCATCATTACACTTGTTAGGTACAAATGAGTAATATCTTAAGCAACACTTACTTCTACAGGTTCCAAATGTCTGGAATTCAGCTCCAAAATAATACCCCTGATCGCTCCAGTTTGTATCTCCACTATTCTAGAACTGTACCTTGGTGGACCAGTCTCTGTTTCACCGCGAGTTGACGAGAGAATTACGACGAATACCACCAAAAACAGAACCCTGTGACGAGCCGCTACTGAGGCTGAGCTGCTGCTGATATAGAACGGGGGAATATTACGACGGCTGCCATAGGCGGCGCATCGAGGAAGCATGGTCTGCGGCGCGACGTAAAAGGCATCACTCTGGCGCAACGCGACGCCACTGGCCGTGGAGCAAAGGGGGAAGGCTGAAAATAAATGAATACTATTTGAAAAATGTGGTTTATTATCTTTTAGTAAATCAAACAGTTTTAAATCACAAATTTTTCGAAACTTTTAAGAAACAGATGTGGCTCACCCCAAGTAGCATTTTCACGACTTGCGACCACATGTTTACTAAACACAACGTTGGATTAGTTACAAAAAATAGTTAGCTCCGTACCTTAGGTATTAAAATAAATGTAAACGTTGTTGTAACGTTGTGCCGACGTTGAACTAGTACTAAAGCTAAGTAAAAGCTTCTGCGACATCGAATAAACGTTGTCTTGTAACCTTTTTTGCTTAAGTGATCTTTAGGTGATTCGGACAACGTAGTTACAATGTTGGGCAATAAAGAGTTTTCACGTCACTTTCAGGACCTATTCCAACGTTATGCAAACGTCGTCTGTTTTACTAATTCCAACGTTGTTTAGATTTCCATATTCTTACATTGGTAGGATGTCGAGCCACTACGTTTTTGCAACTGTATTGAACCATAACCTTAAATCTTAAATTTTCACTTCATTGTTCTGTTCAGTCAGACAGTTCAGTGCTGTTTTTGTTTTTATAAAAAAATATTTAATTAAAATGGGACATAAGAGAGGTACATATATAAAACTAAATTTAAATAAACATCGACATATTACCGATACTTTATCCACTCCCTCGTTTATTTAGAATATAGAGGGCGGCACAAGCTAGACTCTAGGATGACTAAATTAGGCAATCTTGCGACTAGTATACTACTTGTGAAGGCCGAACTGCGACTTTATTAGTCCAGTATGCGACTACTCGAACTACTCCATCTTAATCTCCAAAACAACAAAGTGAAAGCCGCCATGTTGTTGAATAGGAAAATGTTTCGTTCCTAAAATAGCAATTCCTGCTTTTTGAATACATTAACTTGAAATATTTGACCCTAAACAACACGCGGAAACAATTTTTTCGACTGCGAATAAATTATTCTCATTTTACTAAAAAAAATTCAAGAAATTTTTTAAAACTTCTTTAATTTTAAGGCCCATTAGTATTTTTTAAAGTAGAAACAATACATTTATCAATAAAGTTGTTTGCGTTTAACTTTTTTGCCTTGGGTAACGAGTTACAGAGTCGGTTAAAGTGTTTCAATAATTATGATCTTCAAACATCCTCCACACTTAAATACTTTTGTTTTGTTTTCCTTTACTGCCATCTGGCATATGTCTCTAACTAAATGATAAAAATAATATTTTTACTATAATTATCTCAATTCAGGATAAAACGCGACTTAGACGCCATATTTATTATAGTTTTGTATTTCTGTGAATTAGGATTTTAAACAACGTTGCAGTTTGTACTAAATTAGGCTGCTAGCCAACGTCGGTATCCAACGTCGTTTCGACCCAAAAATTATTCTCCAAACTAGTGCAGACTAGGGTTGGCAGGAGGCTGTGCCGACGTTGCGCCCCGACGTTTGGTCGCGTGACACAACGGTGCCCCGACGTCCAAATGCTGCTTGGGACATTTACAAAGAGTTCGAACCCGTTTTGTGCCTGAAAAGTTCCCATAATTTATTTGACATTATGTCAAAATATGATATCATAACCTTACTTTAATTGTTTGGATTTTGTTCTATAATTTTTGCATTTAATCATTGTTCAACTTTTTATAGTACTATAATTAAAAAAGCAGAAAGAAGGACATATGGTTAGTACAGATGTACAGATATTTTTCTTATGTGATTTTATATGATGATTTATTTTAGGAATGCATATAATAACAGCCACTACCCATACCCAACAGGAGACCGAAAAAAAATGTTACCAGCAAACTTTTTTTTCTTTTTTTCCACAAAGTAATACATGTTTTTATGTTTTAGTTGTGATATAATAAGTAAATAAAAATGTTTTAATTATTTTGACCAGAAGTTTTGATTGCCGTTGTTGACAGGTGACTAGTTTGAAATTTCTACACAGATAGCGCCAAATCGAAACATTTTGGAAATTAGGATTAATTTTCGAAACAAGAGTTTCTCTTTTTTTGGATACAAATATGATATAATTTAGATGATTTGTGTCCGACTCCATGTCAATTTTATAAAATAATGAATGAAAATTCCGCCATGTTGGCTAGTGATAGCGTTTTTAACTAAAAATATATAACTTTATCGGCTGTTGAGCTGTTAAACTCATAAGAACGCGTTCTACTTACATTGATTTATATATTTTTATTTTCAGAACCTTGATATAAAAATAAAAATATATATTTTAAACAAAAAAATGTTTTGTAGGTACGAATAATGATATTATAGAATAGGAATTAAAAATATGAAAGTACATTATTAAATTAAACGATGAATTTGCTTTTGCCAGACATTTTTTGTGTGAGAAAACCTAAAAACGAATCTTAAGACAAAAAAAAATATAGCGGAGATCGACATTGTTGATGGTTGTTTTCATTTAGAAATCAAGACACAGACATAGACTATTTTATTTTGGTATATTGTTTCTTCACATTTAGAAACAGTGGCTGCTGAAAACGTGAACATCTTGGACACAAATTGCACAAAATATTTCGAAACGTTTCCTCTAAAAGTTTTGATTTTGCATCGAAACATTTCAGGAAACGAAACGGCTAGCAAACATCACATTGGAAACACATGTAATAAAGCCATATAAAATATATAGGTTTGGAAAATGTTTCCAATTTGTGGCATACCGTTTCCATTTTGTGTCAAGAAACAGACACGATTATTAGAAACATTACCTAAAATGTGTCCAAAAATGCTACTTGGGTTTATGCTAAAACGTCATAGTTGTCATGACAGAACAAAAATATTTATTATTAAAAATTATTTAAAACCCCCCCATTAAGCTACCCAAAAAACTAAATGCATGACGACATCAAAACATAGACAAACAATTAAAAAGAGACTGACAAATCTCATGGTAAAGAGTGGGACCGCGTTCCTGTAGCGCAACTCAGAATAACAATTTTGAAACCAATTAGCAGGACCATGGCAGGACGTACGTCTTTATTCCTATCTTTCTTTATTATGTGTGCTTTATATGAAAAAGAAAGAGATAGGTATAAAACGTATAGTAAGACATTATCGCACATTCTCACTGGCGGGAAATTTAAATTAACCATTATTGGTAGTATTCTTTCATTCTGAAACTGAAAATTTTCACTTAAACTGATTTATTCCCTATACCACGCAAAGGGAAAGTGGTGTAGGGAATAAATCAGTTTAAGTAAAAATTTGCAGTTTCTTTCAGAACGAAAGAATTACTATTATAAGGGAAATTATAAAAAAAGCAAAAATTGTACTGTTAAACATATTTATTTATACATAAAAATAAATAAACTTTTTATAATATAATAACAAAAAATAACAGTGTTTATTCCACCCACCTACCAATTTTAAATGCAGAAGAACTGTTGCAGGAAACGATCGGCCAATTTTTTTAAAGGGCATTAAAAACTGCCTAAGTACAATAACAAAGTGAATATCCAAGCAAAGAAGACTTTACCAAAATCATGATTCTGAACCATTTTCAAGTCCAGTTTTAATCCTAAAACAAAAGTAAAATAGGTATATTAATAAAGTTTCTGGTCTGGTTACTATAAACCAGCTATAAACTACCTACCCAAAAAATGAAAAAAATTAATTCTATTAATTTGTTATGTTAAGAGAGGTTCGAAATATTTTAGTCACTACTACTTCTACTTTTTTCTTAATAAGATAATAAATATAACTACTTACTTTTATTTTACCGGGTGTCTTTAACATACCTATCAGAGAAAGGGGGTACCAATACATATAAAAAAATAGATGATACTGGCTCCTGCAGCAAATAAAATAACAAATAGTAAAACCGAAAATTATAAGTAACAAAATATAAATACCTATCTGGAACAAAGGAATTTGTTCCCTATCCATATTCATAAGTCAATAAAATGGAGAGTTTAGAAAAAAAGGTAAATCGACAAAAATAAATTAACAAATATGACGAATTGTCATGATGTTGTCATCTTGGTTGTTATGATCATAAAATAATTAACTAGAAAGAAGTGTCAACTCTGTGTTAAATCGTGGAAACACGATACGCCACCGAAAGCCTTCGTTGTCGTCTGGAGAACTAATTTTCCAATTGACAGGTTGACATGATAAGGAGATGATGGCTTAATTCTCATTTCCGTTTCCGGTTATTCAATGGCGGGTCCTCTTATAGTTCAAATGTATTTTGTATTTTTTCTTTTCATAAATAAAACCAAAAAATTATTTATTCACATATATTTATTTGAAATATGGAACAACGTGACTAAATAAATATAAAAATATAGAGGATTGTATTGTTTCAATACCAATTAGTTAATTATATGTACTTTTAACGTAAATTAGTTAAGGTATAAGCATGACTTACAGTAATTTGTAAATAAACACACGTATTCGCAGACTTCAAGGACAGAAAACGGACACAGGGACATGAAAACGGGAGCCTTATACAAAAACCTGAAAACAGAAAAACAAATTTTTTTATACTAAAATTAACAATCTAAAAATATCAATAGGTATAAAATATAAATATACTGTTTAAAAAAGCGTCCATTATTCCCAAAGAGACCTGGCTTATAAATCAAAAAGAAGCAAAAAGAGACTTTTAGTCGGATAACATAATCAGATTATCAGTCCGATTTATTGCATTATTGACAATAAATCGCACATATTGGAGATAAATGATGTTGGCTATAGTTAAAAATGATCTTACCTTGCTGTAAATTGTTTCCATTTTCAAAAAAATCGCCGATCAAAGAGATTATAACACCATTTTCTTGCATCTAAAAAATGTAAAAACAGTGTTTATTTACTACCTATTTTTCATATACATGGGACATACCTACTACGGCAGAAACGTCATTTTCTCCAGGATTCTTCATGTAATATATATTTTATATACTTTATTACCTTTATAATTATAAATTTCAGCCGAAATATTAAATTGAACTT